TATACATATATTTAGTATATATATACTATATATATATATATATATATATATATATATATAATACATATATATATATATATATTATATATATTATTATATATATATATATATATATACAACCCATATATATAGTATATATACATATAGATAGTATATATACATATATGTGTATATATATACATATATGTAGTATATATATAATATATATAGTATTTATATAGTATATATATAGTATATATATAATATGTATATAGTATATATACAATATATATACATATATATATTATATATATATATATATATATATATATATATATATATATATGTATATATATATAATGTATGTATGTATGTATGTATGTATGTATGTATGTATGTATGTATGTATGTATGTATGTATGTGTGTATGTATGTATGTATCATAATATCAATAAGAATGATAACAGTATTGATGTTAATAGCATTAGAAAAAGGGCAAGATTGTCATTCAAAGAGGTTGGAAATCTAGCATGGTCACCAGGGCCTAATAATTGACATATGTAGATATAAGAGCTTTTGGTATGTACTTAAATATTTACATAAGATGATGTTGACCTTGCTGCTTTTGACTTAGGCGAGTAGTCAGGACAGAGTCGGAGAGCCAAGAGGAGGCATGAATAAGCGAGGCCTCCGGGTGGGGGTCGTGATGGTGGAGGTCGTGATTCTGGGCATCATCCCCCTGACTCCTTCACCTCTGAGTCGGCTCCCCAGCCCAAACGGGGGAGGAAAAAGACAGAGAGTAAAGAGTGAGTGTGGAGAGGTCTTGTTTCCTTATTAATGTAATTTTTTTTATGAAGTGTATTCTATTGACTTTCTTGAAAGGTTTGCCTTTTTAGATATAACTTTGAAAATTATCATTAAAGACAGGCTGAAACATGTTATTGTACTTACAAATGCAACACCTAATGCTCATTGATCTTTTTTATTTCAGCAACCTGACAACTGTCATCACCAATGGTGTTGGCGCCAACACACTCCTTCTTGGAAACCAGCTGAACCCAGCATCTGCAGTTGCTCAAAAGATGACAGACACTTTACATGCAGAACTTGAAGCACACTCCATATTACAAGGATGAGAAGAAAAAGATGACCAATCTCCTGGTTGGTCCAGCTATACCAGGGAAAAAAGGAGGTAGGTGACAGAGTGCACTCATTGGATGAGTTTTTGAATTACAGCATTGGATAGAAACACCCTATATGAAGGACTTGGAATACAAATTATGATATTAAAAATGGAAGTAACATTTAACTCACATGAGCCTCCCTTTATGTAGAATCCGAATGGGAGTACAAGTGCTGCGAATAGCCAGCCGCCTCCATTCCCGCAAAGTCTGGAGCAGTTACTAGAAAGACAATGGGAACAAGGAAGCCAATTTCTGATGGAGCAGGCACAACATTTTGACAGTAAGGAATGGATTCTTTAATGATTTTTTTTTTTTTTTTCCTTTCAAGAGTATGATGAGTTTTTGTTGCTAGTATTATCCAGTAATTTAGTAGAATGTGGTGTAGTCCTTTTCTCCTCTACCTTTCCCTTTTCAGTTGCGTCATTGCTGTCATGCCTGCATCAGCTGCGCCAGGAGAATGTCAGGTTGGAGGAGACAGTGAGCTCTTTGATTAGCCCGCAGAGACCACCTCCTGGCTGTCAACGCCCGCCTCTCCGTGCCACTCAACTCTCCCTCGACGGCTAACGCCAACGCTTCATCCAATGCCAACCCAGCCCCCCTCCTCTGTGTCAGGCTCCTCCTCCTCCTCCTCCTCCTCATCCTCAGCTCCCCCTCCCCAGCCACCCTCAGCAGCAACAGCCCATGCCCCTAACCCCAGACCCCCCAGCAGTGGCTCAGCCCTGACCCCCACCCCCAAGGCCCCACTCGCAGGGCCACCATCCCCAGTGCGTTGAGTGGCTAGGCATCTTGTCCTAGATGTTTGGTCTGTGGTTGTTGATTGGTGTCCATTACATTGTAGTTGCTTTTATTTAATATGAACATTGATTTCAAAAGCAGGAAAAAGGAAGGACATAAATTAGGATATTAAAATGAAAATGTATGTAGATTAAAAGTAATATGATATTCAAATTACAGTGAATAGAACTGGTTATGATAGTATTTCATGCAATTTACAGCATATATGGTTAAGTAGATAACTAACCATATAGATACACATAGTTAAAAAAAAAAATCTTGTTTCCTTAGGAGGCAGCACACATCCTAGTGGTACCACCCCAGTTGGAGGCAGCTCAGGCCACAGGGGAGCCTCCCCCCATGACCGGCGTGGCCCATCACCCCATGAGAGGAGGGGTACCTCTCCTCATGATCGCCGGGGCCCGCCTCCACCCTTACCTGTAGAGAATGGCCTGGGGGAACCAGAGTATCGCTATCGGAGCCCTGGGACAGAGCACAGACAACAGTCCCCGATGCTGCCTCCTGGAGCACAGCCCAGTCCAACATCTTTGAGGTAGGTGCTGTGGTTTTTTGTGGTTTCTCCTCACTTTCTATATTTTTTTCTGTTTCACTCATATGCTCTTCACTATGTGCTGTATTGTGCAGCAGTTGCGTTAGCAATATGGCTGACGCACATTCAGTCCTGCTTGCTGCCAGTGGATAATAACCCAGGGCATTCCTTGATCACAAGGGGTAATATAGAAGCATATAAGTAGACAGCTTGTCACAGCAAAGAGTATTCAGTGTAACAAAAAAAAAAAAAAAAAAAAAAAAAAAAAAAAATCTGTATCTCCATTTTTAACCCACTTAAGACGGGTGTCATACTTATGAGACACCCGGAAAAAATAAACATTGCTGGGCGTCCTGCCGGTTCAACGCTGGATGGGAGCTTGCACTCTGATATTGTCGCCCATGGTGGGCGGTGTGCGGGCAGGTTCTCAGACTCAATTTTAAAGCCACCCCGAAAACATTATATTCGGTTTGAAAATGTATCGTCGCTAGTGGGTTAATTGTTTTTCTTTTTTAATTCTTTGCTTCACTTTCAATGTCCTTTCCTTCTTTTCTTTTATTCTTTCTTCTTTTTAAGACTTATTTATATTATGTATTTTCTCCTTTACTTGCTCTTTTATTTTCTTTAATAATTTTACTTTGTTTTTTCATAGTGTAGTAAGGACATGCGTAATATTCAGCTCTTATTTAAAGAATTTCTTACTAGAATCATTATTTAGTCTTATTGTGGTTAGACTTTTATAAAAATCAGTTATGCTACATGGAAAGGGTACTTGATTTATTCTTTATTTACTGTCATAATTATACCTTTATATGTTATTATCTCATAACTTTATCAATATTGTGCTATTTGGCTATAAATAACTTGTATATGTTTATTTATGCATAATGATACTTGCAAATAAATCTTTGAGCTTGCTCTGCTCTTTCCAGACACAGTCCTGCGGGGGGTAACTACCACACGAGCGTGTCGCCACATGGTGTGGCATCCCTGAGCCCCTCTGGGGCCCCTCACAGCCACCCTCCCCCATCTCATGGCCCCCCACCCCCTCACTCAATGGCTCCCTCACATGGGCCGCCAAGCCACAGCTCTCCGCATGGCCCTCAACATGGGCCTCCTCCCCATGGACCTCCCCATGGCCCCCCTCATGGACCACCACCTCCCATGGTATCAGTAGCGCACAGCTCAGCCCACAGTGTCCCCATCAGCAGACCATCTGACCACCGAGGTGAGCTGGTTAGGTTGCATGGGGGGCAGCCTCCACCTCAGCACCCGGGCCCTGCCCTAGGCCCAGGTGGCTACCCTGTGTACCAGATGGTGTCGCCTCCAGTGCCCGGCCCTCATCACTCGCCCGTGCCGCCTCTTAACCAGCCTCATCCTCCCCCTCATGCTCAAGTGAGTTCAGGAGTATGCAAGGTGTAACCATTCTATATTGTCTTGGTGCACAAGTATGGTGACTTTCTTTTTTATTCAAACTGGCAATATTGCAATTTATGAATTTAATTAGATCTCAATGAATAGGAGT